ATTTGTCCAAACTTGAGTTAGAAAAACCACTCTGTTTTGAAAAAGAAATTAATGAACATTTTCCAGATGAAAAACTGTTCAATATTAATGAGTGGTGTGTTCCGTGATATGCCGACATTGTGAACTTTATTGTTAGTGATATTATACCCTATAGAATGACATACTAATAGAAGAGGGAATTTATTTCTGAAATTTATTGTTTGGGATGACTCATTCTTGTATAAACAAGGAAATAATCTGATTATTCGAAGATTTGTACCTTTAGAAAAAAACTTATGAAATTATCCAAAAATGTCATAATTTTGATTTTATGAGACATTTTGGTGTTGATAAAACAACATACAAAATTTTACAATCTGAATTCTATTGGTCTATTATCTTTAGAGATGTTAATGCTTATATTAAAACTTGTGATGAATGTCAACGAGCAGACAATATTTTTAGAAGAAATGAAATACCCCTCAATTATATGCTAGAAGTTGAAATATTTGATGTTTGGGGATTAGATTTCGTTGGACCATTTATACCATCTTTCGGAAATTTATACATACTGTTAGCAGTATATTATGTATCCAAATGGATAGAAACTATTGTTTTACCTCGATGTGATGCTCAAAGTGTTGCAAAATTTTTGAAAACAAACATATTTTGTATATTTGAGATGTTTAGTTATCATAACTGATGAGGGGTCATTTCAGAAATGTCATAATGGAGAAATTATTAAAGAAATATCATATAAACCATATAATTGTTACTGCTTATCATCCTCAGACAAGTAGTTTGGTTTAATTATTCAATCGAGAAATTAAAAAAATTAGTGTGAATAAAAAAAAAATAGATTGGTCAATCAAACTTGACTATGCTTTGTAGGCTTATATGACTGCATACAACACTCCTATAGGTAAGAACACTCCTATAAGTAAGGGTGTAAACGAGCAAAACACGAGCGAGCCCAAACTCAGCTTGTGTTTGGCTCATTTATATTTCGAGCTCAAAAAGTGTGTAAATGTTCGGCTCGTTTGCTTAGCGAGCCGAACACAGCAAACGAGCCGAACATAAGCCACTCACGAACAAAGAGTCGTTTTGACAACCCTAATCACACATCCATAAAATGTTAAGGATTGGGGCACAATTTAAACCATCATTTAAATTTAACTTAATATTTTTTTTTTCTATTTTCTTAACTAATACTTTTAATTGATTATAAATCTTTGTAGCCTTGTAGTCAATTTCGCCCCATTTCAGCTTCAATCCGCTCCAAATGTTATACTTACAAGATAAACATGAATACAACATTTTTCTTTAAAGTGCAATTTCATTCAAAAACATATGATAAATGTAACAGAGATTAAGTATAGAAAGGCATAACAAACTGTGCCAAATCAAAATTTTCTTCTTTGCTCGATTTGACTCCAAATTGCACCATTTTTGCCCAATTTTCTCCAAAACTCCATTTCTTATACCTCGAACTAAAACCATGCAAAATACATTTCTTTAAAGTGCAATATCATTAAAAATGAGCATAAACTATATAAAAAAAGGTTATTTTTAGGTGTGTCACCTATTACACCTTGCTTTAGCTCTTTCCATGGTTTTAAATCATATTTTAGCCGATATCTTTTATTATATTGTTGTTTTCTATCATACTCTCTTTTAGTGCTTTCTTGAAAATTTTTTATTATTTTATGCCATCATCCTTTGTTAAAACAGGTTGTCGGCTTATTTTTCAATTCCTCCATTTTTTGATAAAGGTCATAAAAGATTAATTTTGTGTTACCCATCACCACCACTAGTATGAAAAAAACTAATCAGCATAACTATTTACAAACAAAAAAAATATTCTCATTTTAACAAAAATCAACTATAGAGTCAATTGAATTCAAAAAAGCAAGTCACATCTCCCACAAAACTTTATTTACATGGCACAAAGTGGTACTTCATTATAAAACCTAAACCTAAAATCACATTTATTACCAAGTAAATTCAAGAAAGTAATCCACATCTCGCCCAACACTTTCTTTACAAAACACAAAAGTGGTAATAGACAAATTCATTATAAACCCAAGCATAGAAATTATCATATAGAACTAAATAAATTCAATAAAGCAATCTATATCTCCCCCAACCATTTCTCCACATGACACAAAAGGTGGTGATAAAAAATTTCATTATAAAGCTCGAACATCAAAATCAACATATTTAACCAAGTGGATTTAAGAAATCAATCAATAGTTCTCGCAACCATTTTTCCAAATGACACAAAAGTGGTAATAACAATCTTCATTATAAAATCCAAACCCAAGCACCAATATAACTAAGTAAATTCAATAAAGCAATCTATATCTCCCCCAACCATTTCTCCACATGACACAAAAGGTGGTGATAAAAAAAATTCATTATAAAGCTCGAGCATCAAAATTAACATATTTAACCAAGTGGATTTAAGAAATCAATCAATAGTTCTCGCAACCATTTTTCCAAATGACACAAAAGTGGTAATAACAATCTTCATTATAAAATCCAAACCCAAGCACCAATATAACTAAGTAAATTCAATAAAGCAATCTATATCTCCCTCCAATATTTTCTCCACATGGCACAAAAGCAGTAATAAATAAATTCATTATAAAATCTGTCAACATATATAATTAAGTGAATTCAAGAAAGTAATCCACAACTCCCTTAAGTTTTTCCCACATAGCACAAAAGTGATAATAAACAAATTCATTATAAAACCCGGGCATCAAAATTAATATATATATATATAGACACACACACACACACACACACACACACACGTGAATTTAAGAAAGCAATCTACGTCTTTACCGACCCTTACTCCACATGACACAAAAGTTGTAATATATAACTTCATCACAAAACCCAAACCTGAGCACCAATACATCTATGTGAATTCAAGAAAGCAATCTACATATCCCCACCCCTTTCTCCACATGAAAAAAAAATGATAATAAGCAACTTCATTATAAAACAAAAGCATCAAAATTCACATAATCCAACATAGCAAAAAACTTACACGAACCCATATTTGCTCAATTAAAGCCCACAACTAGCAACATAACATAAAGTAAACATATGAAATCTAGCGAACTGGCATATAACGGTCAATTTTTATTTTTGTGTGTCCAAACTCATATGGAGCCAACCCCTATTTCTTCAATCATTTAAACTTAAGGCATTTTCTTTCATAGAACTAAATTCTTTTATATTTACGGTTTACACTTTATGTCATCCAAATTTCTAATATCACATCAATAACAACACCATAATGCATTATTTTTTGCATAAGTAAGATGAAATGTATGTAAATATTGAAGTTTAAACTTTGATATATGAATGCTGAAATCAATCCACAACATTGCATGGACATATACGATAAACAACTGCACAGTTATACCCCAACAAAGACAGAAATAGATGACATATGATAAAGACAAAGGCAACAAAGAACAAACTCGCATAAAAATGAGTGAGGTATGAAGGAGGTTAAAACCGACGAGCATTACTAATTTCATAACTAGTTATACCCCGACAAAGACAGAAATAGATGACATATGACAAAGACAAAGGCAACAAAGAACAAACTTGCATAAAAATGAGTGAGGTTAAAACCGACGAGCATTACTAATTTCATAACTGAAACAACTGACTGAAAAACCCTCATATAACTTAAAACCGCTTGCACAAGTAAATGGATCAAAATTAGCATATTCTACCATGATATATTTGACATTTTCATATACAACCAAATTTGTTCAAGTAAATACCAAAGATAGAAACACAACATAAAATAAACATATGAAATCTTTCAACGTAATAAACCTTGGGTCAAAATTTTATTTAAACATTTTCTCAGAAAAAGGGAATCAAAATAATATAAGGAAATACAAGTAAGACACACAGTCCATTCTTCCAACTTCCTTGAACTCTAAACATCAATGCATAAACAAAGGTATTGAATTATATTGAATCTTCATGAATTAGTAAAGTCAGAGATCACCAAAAAAAAAAAAAAACCCATTGAGAAAAGAGTAAAGGTAGGATGAAATTTCAAAATGTTAAAAGAAATTTAAGGATGCTATGTATCAAAAGATGAAGTAATACAAGGGCAAACACTAGAGATCAATTCCTTGCCACAGAAGAATTTTTAGGACATCCTATGAAAGACAAAGTAAGACCACGCTCCTTATTGCCATGGCCCTTCGTCATTTTAACAGGGCAAAACTGTGAACCGTGGGTGAGCAACAACATCGTAGAAATGAGGGTGTGTTTAATTGAATACACCCATGTCGCGAAAAACAAATACGAGAAATTACATTTTCATTAAACATGATGTTAATAACGTGTAGATAATATATGTGCAAATTGATAGTATTATGATAAATACTACCATAATACAAAAAAATCCGCCCGCACCTACGGTATCCACACAAATATTTCTTAGGAAGGCATATAAATACAAATTTTTGAATATAACAATTTTTTATAGCATGTATGAACCCAATTATTATTATTATTATTATTATAGCAGAACAATGTTTTACTGCATATCTGAACCCAATTTTCGAAAGCAGAGCAATGTTTTACTGCATATCTGAACCCAATTTTCGAAAGAAGCGGAAATTCCTCCTCCTCAGCGTCTCTGTCTCCACCATTTCCGTTTGAACTATTGATTCTTTGACGCCGCAGCAAAACCCAAGGCCCTCTCCTCGCTCCGACCGAAAGACCGGAGACCAATATCCTCATCACCCCCCTCTCTCCCCCTCTTCTCCGATTGTCCTTCCCGCCCTCTTGTTATCGAAATTTAGTTGAAGGGCATCAGATCGCCCATTCTTCTTCTCCATCTTTAGAGAAGTTCAAAGATCCGGCGGTCTTAATAGTCATCGAGATATTTTATCCAGCGATTGATTGGGATCACTTGTTCCGGTTATCAGTTTCTTGTTCAGAGATCCGTTTCTTCTTCGTGGGTGTCAACCTCTGGTCGTCCTGGTGCCATGGAGGCGATAGAGGAGCTCATCCAGCTCTCCGAGTCCATGATACAGGCCTCTGCTCTCCTTGCAGACGAGGAAATTGATGAGAAGTCCCCCCGCCGGAGTTCTACATTTCTCAACGTTGTTGCGCTCGGGAACGTTGTAAGTTCATTTATGCTTACTCATGGAAGTCTGATCTTTTTTTTAGAGTTGGTCTATGATCGTGCATCAGCGTCTATCTAATATGGATTCGCGTAATTTGTACTTTTTTTTTATTTCTCTTCGTTCTGTTCCCGCCCTAGGGCGCTGGAAAGTCGGCAGTTTTGAATAGTTTGATCGGGCACCCCGTTCTGGTACGTTTCATCTGGTGATACTTTCTGTTCAAGTCTTTCCTGATTTTGAATTTCTCGCTGGACTGGTCGGCTTTTTTGCCTGTGCAGCCCACTGGAGAAAATGGAGCCACTAGAGCGCCAATCAGCATTGATCTGCAGAGAGATAACTCGTTAAGCAGCAAATCCATCGTTCTGCAGATTGACAACAAATCGCAGCAGGTTTCTGCAAGTGAGATCCCTTAGGATTGTCAAATGATTTTAGGAATTCTTCGATATTTAATTTGAAACAGGCCCACCACATAGTGGGATAAAGGCCTTTTGTTGCTGTTGTTGTTGTTATTCGATGTTTAATTTGAAATAAGATCGCCAGTAACATGAGTGTGTGCTTTATAGGCGCTCTTAGGCATTCTCTGCAAGATAGGCTGAGCAAGGGATCCGGAAAGAGTCGCGGTGACGAAATTTATTTGAAGCTCCGTACCAGCACAGGTTAATTATGAACCTTTTATTAATTTGTCGTTTACTCAAAATATTTGAATTTCCGATCAGTATAACCGCTGCAGTCCATATATGTTCTCGTGAATGTCACCCAGTCAAGTACTGCAAGTAAACTTCATTATTAGATTAGTTAATTAACCCTAGATCTCAAAACTTCATATGAAGCATAGAATTAGTATGATAAACGAACACAACATTGTTGAAGTAATATGGCTGAATAATATAGGGCTTGACATGCCACCATCTTGATGCAATATTTTTTAAATTGTCTATATAAATTGTAATCAAAACACTTAATGTAAATAATTTTTTATCAAATAACATCACACAATGTAATCTAATCTCATAAGTATCTCATAAAAACTTGGGGGCTTGCGGAAGAAAAACTAGTATTTGTTTAATTCCACATATATTTTAATATTTTATATTGTATGCTGATTCTGAATTAGGATTTGTTTAATTACACCAACAGCACCAATATTTGTAATCATTTGATGTGCTTTATCATTTCCAATATTGCATTGTCCATGCAAATTTCCAAAAACCCTAAAAAGAGCGTATAATTTTTAATTCAAATTGGAAATTGTTAAACCGGGAAAAACTTATATGTTATAGTCCATTTGGACTTGTCTCCTAACTTGTTCGACGCTAATTTTGTAAAAAAACCTATAGGCATGATTTTCTGGGCATAGGATAATTATTAGGGCATGTTAATTAGATTTTATCATTATTAACTACTAATACCCTAAAGCCCTAACTCCCTTTTCTTTTAGTCTTCTTTATATTTACCTCCTTAGCCATAGTTTCATCTTCCTTTACTTTCTAGTGCTATTATTTGCACATGATCCATTAGAAATTAATCCCGATTAGTCTTAGTAATTTTTAGGTATAATAACCTCCAACATCATAAGATGCTTTACTAATGAAGCTTGGCATCACTTTCCTATTTGTACACACTAGGGTTGCATATGCTTGATTGACCAGTTTGTCAGATTGGTTAATTCAAAACATTAATGATCAGTTTGTGCTGAAACCAAATTGATTAAGTTATGACCTTTTTATCGGTTCGGTTGGTTCATGTAAACGTAATAACAAGTTTAGCTTGATTTGTTTAGATGACTTGGTTAGTTTTATGGTTCTTAGTTTGAATGGCTCGGCTTGTGGTTGGAGCTTATATCCACACGTTATATTTTATAAGTGTTAATTTAGCAATCTTTCACAAATTCCTATATGAGATGAAGCAATCTAAAAAAGAATTGTTCCTTCAATAGGGAAAATAGTACCACTACCAAACCAATTTTTTTTACTCAATTGTATTTGAGTTAAAATGTCCTTAAACTGAATCGAAAAAAAGCCAATAAGAAGGAAAATAATATTGCTATTCCGGTGCTTCTGAAAATTGAGTCAAATCAACTTGAGCAAAAACGTTTGTTTTTTTATTCTAACCATATAATGCATAGTACTAGCTCACGCACTAGCTAATTAGCATTGGATCTTTGCAAGAACTAATAATTAGGTCAGTATACCCCAAATAATGAAATCAAGGTTGACATGTCAATAAAGTCATATATTTGGGGTGGTCAATTTGCAATTTTTTTTTCTATAGGTTGCAGACACTTCTATTTATTTTTCAAGAAAATTTTTGCAAGCTTATTCTAAACACCAAATGGAGCTCCAAAGAGCCCTCCTAAATTTCTGCTACATCAAAAGGAAGTTCAGGTAATTAGAGCTGATATTGTGTTAAAAAATAAACATAACATTTGCTAGTCTGGGTGAGCCATTACTATCTTTCTGATGTTTTAGTTTTTCAGAGTGAAAAAAAAAAAAAAAAAATTATTAATCAATCAATTCCCTTATTAATCAATCAATTCCCTTATGGGTGAAAATCAAAATCTTATATTTAACTTTCCTTCTTTTTAAACATCCGAAAATTTAAACTAAAGCATGGATTTTGTCTCTATTTAAATTTTATCAAAGTAAGAAGAAAAAACTACTCTGTGAACTGTGAAATATTCAAATATATTTAAAATGAAATATTTTATTTACTAAGTCTTTGTTGGCATCTTTTTTTATTGTGTTGTAAATTTCAAAGAATTTATTTTGGTTGGTATTTTGTAATTGTTTCTAATTTTTTAAACAAATGCTATTTTAAAACATCCAATTTTTTTAATTTTTTTATTTTATTCTTTTTAATGTGAACCTCTAACCACTTGAACTCATGAACCACTTTTTCTAGCCAGCTCTACACTTACCGTCAGCCAACCTTGCGTCCCTTGCCGACCAGCCCCACTAACCTCGCCGGCGATTCTCCCCGATAACCAACTTTAGGCCCATCACTAGTCAACCCTGCACTTGGTGTTGTCCAACCCCGCAACCACCATTAGTGGTATCTTTGTCTGGTTTACCAAAGCTTTGAACGTGGCATTACCTCCATTGTTGAAATTGTGACATAAGTTGAGTAATATGATATTTATGAAAGGTAAAACAACATATATTTAAGATGTCAACTTATTTTTATTTCATGTTGAATAATAATAATAATAATAATAATAAAAGCTAAAAATAAACATATTATAAATTGTCCTTTTCATTTGTGACAATTACTTACCTCTAATCTGAGCTGTTTCAGTTCTCTGTTTGTATCCCTCTTTCACCATTTTCTTGCTCTTAAAGTACACATTTTTTTGTGAGTTTAGGTTAGTTGATTATTTCTAAACATGATAGTTTTGGCACCTTATCGTAACAACATTAGCTTTCAATTTAACTATTTTCTGTTGCGCAGAATAGAATTATTTTGGTCCTCACTTTGTCTTTAATATACATTTCAACTTGGCTTTCCCTGAAATATTTAGAAATGATAATTTATGGCATTAAGAATAGATGCTAGAGATTTGATCCAAGGCAGGATGGGATGAGGGTGGTTAGGGTGGAGTTGCATTATGTGCTAAAATTCACCTTGTGAAACTATACTTCTGCGAGGAAGAGGAGTAATTTTGTGTTTTGGAGAGTTTGGATGAGTTAGCTCAACAAAATTTTTTGTACAATGGGTTTCCTGGCCTCATCATTGATGAATTTATTGTTTAAATAATGAATAGCTTCACCATAAAAGCATAACTACTTTAAGTGTTCCATTATTGGATCGCAATTATGCACCTCTCCTCCTTTCTCTCTCTTTTTATCTTTCACCATTTATAACTTTTTTTATTTTTTTCCCTCTTCCATATCTGTATCTCATAAGTTAGGGTGGAGTTGCATTATGTGCTAAAATCCACCTTGTGAAACTATACTTCTGCGAGGAAGAGGAGTAATTTTGTGTTTTGGAGAGTTTAGATGAGTTAGCTCAACAAACGTTTTTGTAAAATGGGTTTCCTGGCCTCATCATTGAAGAATTTAATGTTTATATATTGAATAGCTTCACCATACAAGCATACCTACTTTAAGTGTTCCATTATTGGATCACAATTTTAAGCTCTTTCTTTTATGCCCCTCTCCTCCTTTTTCTCTCTTTTTATCTTTCACCATTTATAGCTATTTTTTTTCCCTATTCCATATTTGTACCTCATAAGTTAGGGTGGACTTGCATTATGTGCTAAAATCCACCTTGTGAAACTATACTTATGTGAGGAAGAGGAGTAATTCTGTGTTTTGGAGAGTTTGGATGAGTTAGCTTAACAAACGTTTTTGTACAATGGGTTTCCTGGCCTCATCAATGAAGAATGTAGTGTTTAAATATTGAATAGCTTCACCATAAAACATAGCTACTTTAAGTGTTCCATTATTGGATCATAATTTTAAGTTCTTTCTTTTTTGCCTCTCTCCTCCTTTCTTTCTTTTTTTCTTTCACCATTTATAACTTTTTTTTATTTTTTTTCCACTTCCATATTTGTATCTCGTAAGCTTTGGTAGTTATTTTATCTGAATTACATGACTTTTTTGATGAAAGTAACTAATTTTTATCTTTTAATGGCATTTTGATACTTTACATTGTCCTTGCTAACATTTTCTTTTTGTTCTCCAGCTCCTCCACTTAAATTAGTGGATCTTCCTGGTTTAGACCAGCGTGCGATGGACGAGTCTTTGGTGGGTAGCATCCCTGTTATTCTGTAATTTATTTAGGTGGATTGTTGTTTATTTTTGTATTTGTAATGAAGTAGCATGTTTAAATCTGGAATACAAGAAGTATAATTTGATTATTGATTCTGCTATCATTTATTAAAGAAGAAAAAAAATGGTTAACTTGTTTTTTTATGTATTTTTTACTGCACTGATTCTTGATACATTTGATGGACATGCTAGGCATGTTTGATTGAACATTGTATAGATCTGCTTAAGGAATTGTACTAACATTTTTTTTTTCATATTGTTCTTTTGGTGCTTTGTGGTAAATGTTTCTAGGTCAGTGATTATGCGGCGCGCAACGATGCAATTCTATTGGTGGTCATTCCGGCTGCCCAGGCATCTGAAATTTCTTCCTCTAGGGCTCTCAGACTGGCCAAGGAATTTGATGCAGAGGGTTTGTATTTGTTTTTTATCTAAGTAGCTTCATTTGGCATTCATATTTAGTGTCTTGATTTATCTTCTATTATTGTTTGTGACAGCAACCAGAACCGTTGGTGTTATTAGTAAGATTGATCAAGCTGCTGGAGATCAGAAAGCTCTTGCCGCTACTCAAGCCCTTCTGCTTAGCCAGGGTCCTCCAAAAGCCTCTGATATTCCATGGGTTGCTCTGATTGGGCAATCTGTTTCTATTGCTACAGCACAAGCTGGATCTGTAGGCTCGGAAAACTCACTTGAAACAGCTTGGCGAGCTGAGAGTGAGAGTTTAAGATCTATATTAACTGGTGCTCCACAAAGCAAACTTGGTAGAGTTGCTTTGGTTGAGACCCTTGCTAAACAGATACGTAGTCGAATGAAGCTTCGACTTCCAAATCTGCTTTCCGGGTACATTTTCTTTTCATCCTTTTATCCACATCCCCCCTCTGTATTCCTCCTGGTTTTTTTGACAATCTATTCAGTTGTGTCTTATAGACAAACGTTATCTCATCGATTACAGTATACACTTTTCTTTTGGGATCTGTGCCTGCTATTTGGAGTTTTTTTTAATCGATTTTAAATGAAGTAATCATTTTAACCATGATATAGATCTAAATGCTTGACCTTCTAAGGAATACCTGCCTCCTGATCTTTTTTATTAGCATCAAATTTTCTTTATCCGAATTATCCACTCTAGGAAACATCCTGAGAATTGCATTTTTTAATGATCATTTGCAGATGCTCCTCTATTTTGCTTTTTTGAAATTTTCTTAAACATATTGCCTTGCCTTATTTTGATTTTGTTATTTATATGAATGGGTATTCTGATATCCATCATTTATTTATCAATGGTTTGGCTGAAGGCATCTTGAATCCATGTTATTGTACTATTTTTTTCACTATATGGTCTGAGGATAAAATTTATTACTAATGTCAAACAGTTGAAGTGATAACATGTGCTTGCATGCATTTTTGAGTATGTAAACACTTGCTGCAATTAGATTTGACTCGTTGAATCTCTGCTGTGAATTTACTTGACATTATATTGGTTCAAGAGTTTAACAAAAAGATCTGTAGTAGGAGAAATGAAGTAGATTTTTACTAGCTTTTGAGTTGCATTAAAGTGGTAGGGATAGAATACAAAACAAGGGGAGAGAAAATGAAGCCATGCATGGTATAAAAGAATCATAGTCTCCTTACAAGGTTGAGAAGGCTAGGTACCTATTGACAGGACTCATTCTTCTCAGTTGCTTCAGGAGGTTTGTGTCTGGAGAGTCGTCTCTTACCCTTTGGATAAGTGTCTATGTATATGCCCCACTGAAAAGCTGTTGCTTTTACATTTTTAAGTAATCGTTGGGCCATTGCCTTAGTAGAAACAGTTTTATCCATTAGTCTCATAACCATCCAATGTTAGCTTTGTTACAAGTTTTATGTGGGACCAATGTTTCCCATCAACCGCCGGCTAGTTTTTATGACTACATGATGCATAATAGGAATGCCCTAAAGAGAACATGTTTCTTCTTTTGATTCATTAGAATTATCTAAGATGCTACTAATATAGGAACATTTGATTTTGGAGATCATTCTTTGATCATATTTGCATTCCTCATCTCGGAAATGAAGTTCCTCCTTTGAGCCAATGGAGGGTCTGTAGCATTACTCTTTTAAGGGTTGGGAGAGCTTTCTCTTAGGCTCTGTTTGACGCAGCTGCAGCTTCTCAGCTTTTCAGCTGTAGCTGTGCTGCTCCAGGAAGCTGCTGTGGGGAAGCTACTGCGCGGAACCCGGTTGTCTGTTTGGTGCAGCTGTGTGAAAACAACGGTGGGTCAGCTGTTTATGAAAAAAATGACCATTGTGCCCCTGTTTGCTAAAACTGTTTAAAAGAAGACTATAACAACCACATTTTTTAAATTTCAGAAGCAGGAATTCATTTCTAAACAGAGCAGAAAATTCAGATACACCAATGACCTAATAGTGAGCCCCGAAAATGAAATATATAAGATTTCTGTGCTAAAAAACATATGTAAATATATAAGAATTCTGCGCTAAAAAATATATGTAAATGCATATTTATGTACTGCAAAACAAATATAATAGCATGTGCTGCCATGGTGTGCTCCATGCATGTGCTGCAAAACCACTGAAAGACAAAATTAATTGGATATGCTTATCGCATAAAAAAATACCATATCCCAAACTTCACACCACTGAAAGACAAAATTAAGCAGATACCTCCATATTTTATAAAGCAAAAGCTTTGAGTATTCTTCAGAACTCCACTCACTACAAAATCTTATGTCTAAATAGAATCCTTTGGGTGTGTATTCTACTCTATCTGATTTTGGATCAAGCTGGAGATTGGACATATAGTCCTTTATATTAATTGATCTTATTAGTGGTTGCTCATATTCATTAAAGAGCCTTTACCTTTCTCAACTTATTTCTTTTTCAAGGCTTGAAAAAGATGCAAACGTAACATTCCCTCAATTTTTGGAGATATATAAAAAATTTACATTATATTGGAAGGGATTTTCAATGGTAAATCTCAATGTGAAGTGACCTTTGCATCGAGCTCTAGTTTAATGGAACATTTTCATAGAACATCTGTTATTGCTAAGATGATTGTGATCATATATTTGGCCTTTTTTGATATGAAGGTTCCAAGTCACTTTTATGTTGAAAATTGTGCATCAATGTTTTTTCAATTAAAAATGTAATGAGGCTTCCATTTTAATGTATCAGTGTGACACATACACGTCACATATGTTGAGGCATGACTCACCTCGATCATTTTGAGGTGCGCCTTAACTCGCTATATGCAAGGCATGCGCAGTTCAGATTGTTTTTTTTTTAAGAATAATTATCCCACTTAATGTTCTTGCTCCTTGAAGCTCTCGATAGCACTCACACACTTCTCACTAACTAGTTTTCTCTCCATTCATCATCACCATCATTCTCTATTACCACCGTCGTTTGCATTCTTTATTACTGTTGCCATCGCCGTCAGTTTTTTCTGCATCTGTCACTGTATTATTGATTTTTGAAATCCTAATTTTATGGCATGTTATGCTCTTGTTTAAGTGGAGGACAAATATGAATGTGAGAGAAATTTGTGTTGAACAGTTGAACTTATGTCACTTCTTATTTTGCATAATTGGTAATTTTTTATTTTGTTAGCACATTGTCATGTTACTTTTTAATATATTAATATTATGAAAAGCAGCAAGATTAAAAATATGTCAAGGAAGGACCTCCATTAAGGATAACTGGTTGACAATAATGCATTAGCTCTTTTATCTCCTTCCTTGGAAACCCTAGAGATCAACCCTAGAGACCAAACAACAACAACAACAAAGCCTTAATCCCACTACGTGGGGTCGGCTACATGAATCCTTTTTCTCCATTGCGTCCTATTTAGTGTCATATTTATTAACCCTAGAGACCAAGATAGGGAAAATTCTAAATCTGAGATTGATGGAGGGAAATAGGTGAAAAGAACAAGAGAGTAAATGTGAGAAGTCTCTTCTAACTAAAGATGGAGATTCAGAGATGGGTTCTTCTCCATGTATATTTTGATGGTGCAACATTTTTGCGTGGAAAGGTGGATGGACGGTACGGTAAGGAGCTTAGATTAAAAGAGGAGAATGCAAGAATTCCTCTTGAAGCCTAGAGAAAAAGGACGAGGCCGTCTAAGAAGTTAGTTAGTGTCTATATATTTTAGAATAAGTAGTGAATATTGGAGTTATGTCCTTACTCTTTTTTGGAGATTAATAGAGTCATTAGATGCTTCTTTAAGTCGCTAATATGTATGAGAAGGGGACAAGTCTATAAATTAAAAAAAAAAAAAGTATAAGAGACTTGACCCTCACAACCTAAGCGCCAGATCAACACCAATTTAAATATAATAATATTAGACTCTAGTTGAATCAAAGTAGAATGAGCCATAATGAGCAAACTTGACTTGAAAAAAATGGAGTTAATTTTTTTTTGGCGTGGGAATCAATTTGAAATTATATCAATTTGATCTTGAATTGATTCAAAATTGAAGCGATTTTCAAATTAGATTGTCAACCCTTTCCTATCGTTAATGGCGAGGCTGTTTTCTGATCAGCCAAAGAATACATTATAGGTTTTCATGTTTGGACAAGAATGGTGCCCAAACTGAAGTGACCCTTAGCCAAGTGAAGCATAAACTTTGAGACATGAATTCTGATCTTCATGAAGTTTTATTTATTTACTCATAATAGAATCATAATTTGCAATAGGTTATCGATTAATCAATAAAAAGATTTGAGGATTTTAATATTTTTGTCTAACTATGAAGTCAGGAAAATACTATCAACACAACCATACTTATGAAATTAAGATTTGATTAAATTTTTTTATGTTATTGAATAAATTTCAATCAAACTCCAGCCAACTATAGATAAAACATGCTATTGGTTTGAAATGAAGTAATAAAGCATTCGATTGATGTTTCAACTTTGTATATGCAAAGAATCAATTCAAAGAATGAAAGGGAAGTAACGTGTGTTTCTCTTATTTCTTAGTTGCATGGAGAAATGCATTTCAACTTGTCCAAACAGGCTGAAATTTACATACTCGTTTGTTTGTCATGTAATCATACATATTTTAGTTTTTTATAACTCCAGTCATAAAAATGTTCTTTTTAATGGATTAGAAAATCTTTTCTACAAAAATCAAGAATGTGCTTTGGAGAAGTAGTGTGAAATGAAAGAAAAGGTGTTCATATCCCATTGTAAATCATGATCACGAGGTAGGGATGTAATGGTCCATTATACTTTAAACACATTGAAACCCATGCTTTTATCTCTCTGATTCAAAGAAGCGAGCATAAGCTTCAGAATTATAGTCAAATGCTTCACATAAATTAAAAGTTCAAACCTCTATCAAAGCAATATGGTAGAACTTTTCTTTGAAGCAGGACATCAGTATTTATTTTGAAGTTTATTTTGTAATGCAATGCTGCTAATTCACCTACATCAAAATTTAAAAAATTGATTTAGATCACAATTGTGTGACAACTGACAAAACCAGGAGTCTGAAATTGTATATTTGTGTTGGTTTATCAAAAGAATTATTAAGGATTTTTTTTTTAATTCTTGCTGGTCATTTTGGATCCACTTTCTAAAAAAATGTGGCACTTGATGGGAAGGTTCATGGCTTGATTGTTTATATTCATAACTTTGTAGTTTGTAACCAATTTTTGTAATGCATGGTAAAGCACATATGAGAAGACGCTATATGGACAATGTCCAAGAAACGAGCATTTTGTCATATGCATGTTTATTCAGTAAAGTTTTTTTCTCCATTTTAAACTTATATATTTATCTGCTGTTAGTAGCCAGAAGCGTGTTGTTCTTTAATTTTTTTAACTTTGTAATTTGTAATGGTTGCTAATTTTGGCTCTATATATACTGTAATTGAATGGGTTTGAAATGGATTCATCTCCATGAATCTTGCAGGCTCCAGGGTAAGTCACAGTTAGTGCATGATGAGTTGTTTAGGCTTGGTGAACAAATGGTACATAGCTCTGAAGGAACCAGGGCCATTGCTTTGGAGCTTTGTCGGGAGTTTGAGGACAAGTTTCTTTTGCATATTTCTTCTGGTGAGGTCAGTGCATATATCTGAACTTTAAATACTTAATATAAAGATAATGATGATGATAATGAATATACTAATCCTTGAACTTGTTTTAAAATGGACTACATATTTTTAACAAAAACTCTTAAGTAACATAGAATAAGGAATAATTGTGTAGATGCAGTTTGATTAGATCACTACAAATGGGGTTTTGGTATCAGATACTAGTCCATGTGCAGCAACATAAATATATTTCGTGGCAGATGATGTGCAATTTTTATCTGCCACATATCACATACATTCCATGCCAATAAATACAAATGATTGCATGCAAAACTTAGTAATTGCAATAATATTACTCCATACCATTGAGATTTGGCATTCGAAGCAACAATCAATGCTACATTGGCTTATTTTGAATTTGTAAATAACAATTATGCACCAATTAAATTTTCTTGATACAAGACATATTGCAGCCCCTTCATTCGATATTCAATTTGTTATTGGGATGCTAAGCTTGACCAAAATGAGAGAGAAAGGAGCTTGAATTAGAGGAATCTTTGAATGACGGGCACGAGCGGCATGGGCTCCCAAATAACGTTGGCACAAGGGCTTCACTAGTCCTAAAATGTAGGGTGCTGATTAAATTTGGAGATGTGGAAAGTACTTTATTATAATAAATCTTATTGAAATAAAATCTAAATACTCAGGAAAGCGTGAGAATTGTAAATTCAGCCAGAAATGTCCACAACTAATAGCATTTTTAATTCATAAAAGTTAAGTCTCACTAATTAGATTGCCTTTTAATTTTACTGGAAAGGGTTTGCATGATCTGTAGTAAGTTTTGGAAGCCAGAAATAAAACTTGGACGCGTGATTAATTTATAGAGAAAACATTAGAAGCATGGTTATATAAAACTTTGTTAGTAAGAGAACAATTATTAAAATTTTCTTGTGTTAAAACACATTCAGTGCCGTTTAACTTTTAATAGATACTTGAAAAAGAAAAATTGGAAACTTGGTTAATTAAAATGCCAAAACATGTATGATGATTGTTTAAGAACATAAGGTGGTTAAGAATTCTATGAAAGTGGGAGGAAAGAGGATGGTAGATTGAGAGAGAGAAGGATGGAGAGAGAGACATAGGCAGAGGTAGAGTTTAAGAGGCTGATGCTAAGGATTTAAAACTTTGTTTCGGTATCGCTGCATTTGTATATGTTTTAGTTTTGATAGTTTTGGTTTTGTTTTGGTCCATTTTTTGTTAAAAGTATTTATTTTAAATATCATTCCTCAAATATAATTTTAAAACTAAAACCAAAATAATTTTAAAAATAGAGAGATTGTAATTATTTTATTGCGTAATATTATAAAAAGGGATTCTATAAAATGTGCCTTGAATATAAATTAAAAAATATCCATGGAATATATATATATATATATATATATATATAAATTGCTGAATTCTACGCGCTTATTTTGCCTCTATATCTGGCTTATCCACTGGGTCGAAATCGAATGTGATCTCTTTCCAGACTTCACAAGCAGCGGCTAGCTCAGGGCTCCCTTTGCTAGCTTCACGAATAATATCATTACCTTCACGAGCAAGATCACGTCCCTCATTACGAGCTTGTACACATGCTTCTAAAGCCACCCGATTAGCTACTGCACCGGGTGCATTTCCCCAAGGGTGCCCTAAAGTTCCTCCACCAAACTGTAGTACGGAATCATCTCCAAAGATTTCGGTTAGGGCAGGCATATGCCAAACATGAATACCTCCTGAAGCCACGGGTATAACACCTGGCATAGAGACCCAGTCTTGAGTGAAAAAAATACCACGACTTCGATCTTTTTCAATATAATCATCACGTAACAAATCAACAAAACCCAAAGTCATCTCACGTTCCATATATATATATATATATCTATATCTGTTTGTGTGTGTGTGCGGGCTCTGACGTAAGTCCCTCGGGTCGGGGGTTCAAATCCCGTGGTGCGAGCTCTTCGAATCAGGAGCAAACACACCAGGGTTTTCAATCCTTTGGGGGAATCGATATTTGGTGCCCACTGGTGGGTAGATACATATACATATACGTACGTGTACATATACATATACGTACGTGTAGATACATATACATATACGTACGTATGTATGTATAGATACATATACGTATACGTACGTATGTATGTATGTATACATACGTATGTATGTATGTATGTATACATACGTATGTATGTATACATATACATATGTATCTATAGATATATATATATATATTTATAGATACACACACACACAAATACATATATTTTTGTTATTTAAAAGATTATATAATGTGAAAATCAGTCGTTTTTTAAATTTTATTATTCAATTATCGGTCATGCTATCACTTAGCTCATTTATTACATTGTCTCTTATTATATTTTAGCTAAAAGCTTCATTAAGTTAGCTTTAACTAAAAAAGTTTGTGCTTGATCCTATACTTGAGCCTATGATTGGATCATAATATTGGAGAAATCATGATGTAAAATAGTTATATAAATTATTTTTAGGATATAACAGATTTGCTTGTTTTGATGGAATGAGTCTACTGTGAGTTTATATAGTCCCTAGTTTGATTTGTATCTATCTCATTTTTATTTTTCATTTTTTTTCTTGATTGATTTGGTAGCATAATGATGACGGGAAACTTTAATGGGTTTGAAATTGGTTGAATTTGTTCTCTATATTGTAAAATAGATCAAATTAGTTCATTTTCATGATCTGAAAGAGGCCTTTTAAGGTCATTTCTCTACAAAGTTGATTTGGAAAAAAATATTTTGGATTATTTTCGAGTGACCCTTTAAACATTGGTGGAGATAGAGAAGATTGAGTGAAGGAGATGAATATTCTTGTGGTGGAGGGGCAGATAAATAAAGTCCAATGTATAAACTTCAACTAGAAGGAAGAATGCCACACCGAGAGAGAGAGAGAGAGAGAGAGAGAGAGAGAGAGAGAGAGAGAGAGAGAGAGAGAGGAAGAGTGCCGGAGGGAGGGCAGACAGGTGAAAATTGCCGTCAATGAAAGGATAAGAGCAGTGGACCTTGGTATACACAAATATGATGGAGGAGGATAGGTTTCTACATGATATGATGGTGTAACACAGAATTATTTTTCATCCAGTAAAAGAAAAATATCATTGAAATGTACTATTTTAATTCAATTCTGCAATTCACTAATGACTTTCGGTGTTTCTCTTTAATTGTTAAATAGGGAGGGGGTTGGAAAGTTGTTGCAAGTTTTGAAGGAAACTTTCCTAACAAGATCAAGCAACTTCCACTTGATAAGCACTTTGACATTAACAATGTTAAGAGGGTAATGTAAAAATCCACTTCCATCTCAATTCTGATCACATACATAATGTTATTTCTAATTTTTGCTTTCTAGTTTTTCTTACATTTTAGGTTGTGTTAGAAGCTGATGGCTATCAACCATATCTTATTTCTCCGGAGAAAGGTTTAAGGTCATTAATTAAGGGAGTCTTGGAACTTGCAAAAGAACCTTCACGTCTTTGTGTGGAGGAGGTGAGTTTGAAGCATGTAGTTTTATCTAGTAGTTTAAGCATGATCTTTAACAATTTGAATTGTACAATTTACTGTAGTTCATTTCACCCTTGTTTTTATCATGTATAGTTTCTGCATACGTTCTGCTACCTTATGATGTTGCTTTTATCATTGTTAGACAACATAAACATGTTCTCTTAACTTTCTGCCTATGCTTAATATGTTTATATTTGCATTTCTGAGTTTTATTTCACCAGACCTTTCTATCTTTCTTCCACCTCTCTCTTCCTATTTCTTGCTGGCCCATCTCCCTCTTGGTCCACCTTCTCCCTTTCTCCCTCCTACTCTTTCTTGCTTCCCTGTCCTCATCACCCCTTTTCTCTCCCTACCTTCTCCCTAGTCCTTTTCTATCTTCCTTTCTTCTCCCTAAACCCTATTTTCATAGTATCTCCCATTTTATCTCTCTTCTTTCTATGTGGATTGGATTGACAAAATAGCAATAAAAATCTTATTCTGCCACCTCTGTTTTCAAAGCTCCTCCCCTTCCATCATGTTAAAAAATTCCCTATCTTAAAAAAAAAATCGTTCTCTCATGATTCTGGTGTGAAATTTCTTTTCTTCTATATTTATGATGATCAGTGAAGTGCACCTCTGAAACATACAATCTGACGGTCTGCTGTTCGGCTGAAGTATGCATGCAATGAAATGCTTGACCTAAATATATTCAACATTAATTTTATGAAAGTGGTTTGTGATTTAAATCTTGAATTACTGTTATTATTATTATCACTAGTACAATTTCTCAACTAAATGATTGAATGGGTTTCTCAGCATAATTATTAAGTTGATTTTCATCTTCTATTGGCTCCCGTTTGGTGCAAAACCTAATCTGGGTTTCATCGGACCCTTATTTTCTAGTGTTCAGTTATATTTTATTTGAGATGATGATTATGGTGCTTTTTTTTTTTAAAACATGCATGCTGTGTTATTTTGTGAACTTTTCCTTTTTAGGGTGTGCATTAAGACTGTGTATCATAATTTTCTTTTCCTTCATTTTGCAATGATTTTGGCGAGCAGGTGCATCGAGTTTTGATAGATATAGTTTCTGCAGCTGCGAATGCCACACCAGGACTTGGGAAATACCCTCCATTCAAGCGTGAGGTTATATTTTGTATATGTTTGGATCTCTTTTTCCAGTTCATTTTTAAATTATTTAGGTTACAGTGCTGTCGTTTCTAACCATGAAGATGTTATACTGCTCTTTATTCAAGGTTATTGCAATTGCAACAAATGCTTTAGAAAATTTCAGAAATGATGCCAAAAAAATGGTTGTTGCATTAGTTGATATGGAGCGTGCATTTGTTCCTCCTCAACACTTTATCCGCTTAGTGCAGAGAAGGTAGTTTACTTCAGATGCATGTAGAACTTGCATTTTATGAAACCTGGACATCGTTTTGGTGCTGCATACTCTCTTTTTCTTTTTTTGGTTTTTGGTTCTTGGTTCCTATATTAGGAAAATTTGCTGTATTGAGATGTTTAGAGCTATTAACTTTGTTACTATGCTGTTTGGTTGTTGCGGAACAATTTCTAGATGCTTAAGATGTTATTGTTTTGTTTGAACTATCTCAAGTTGTTTTGTTCCTCCCATGTAAACTATTGAGATTACTAGTTTCCTTTCAAGTTTTAACGTTCTTTATTTTGAATTTGTTGCATGCTCTATATGATGCATATTTGCTTAAGCAGGATGGATAGACAGCGGCGTGAAGAAGAACAGAAGACTAGATCTTCTAAGAAGGCTCACGAGGCTGAACATGCTATTCTAAACAGAGTTAGTTTTTCCCTTTCTTTTTGCTAGATGCGTTTTGCTATATGTACATTTATGTCATTTGATACCCACACTATTTAAACAATGACCTGATTGGTTAGCTGCTTATTTCTTTTTGGGTGTATTTTAAAGCTTTGTTGTTTTCTATTGAAACATTAATAATATATAGGCAACAAGTCCTCAACCTGGAAACCAACAGTCGGGTGGTAACTTGAAGTCAATGAAAGAAAAGTCCAGTTCAGAGAAAGATAAAGATGCAAAAGAAGGTTCAAGTTTGCAGGTTGCGGGGCCTGGTGGAGAGATAACAGCAGGTATATTTCCTTGACTTAAAATTTTCATTTAGCCTGACAGATCATCTTTTCTGGCCTAGTCTTGTATATCCTATATGAACCCTTTTTTTGTTGCAAATTAATGGCGTGATGAATAAGCATGTTCAAAACTAAAATTTGAAGTTAAATATACAAAATATTCTAGTTTGAGGAAATGGAAGCCGGAATGAAAATATTGTTAGGTATGGCTCATATCTAGGGAGTTGAAGTTTCTTGATGAAGAGGTGCGTCTCCTGGTAAAAAATAGTCTCTTGGAATAAAGGGAGTTGGGAGAAGCGAAGACGTGATTGTAATTTTATCTGAGGGTTTGTATATGTCTATATATATGTGTAACCCTATGGGATGTATTGTAACTTCTCTGAAATAGTGAAACCGTCGCTCACTCCCGAGGACATAGACAATTCTTTGCCGAACCTCGTTAAATCTCTGTGTTCTTCTTCTAGTTTGTGTGTGTTGATTTCTGTTTTATTTCGCAAAATTTCACAACAATTGGTATCAGAACCTCTTTCGAGGGGAACAGGAGGAGGAGATCGACGCAGGAAGAAGATTTGAGAAGGAGTTTTGCTGGTTGTGCGACAGTTCCGGTTTTGAGACGAGTTCGGTATTTCGCGAATTTAAGGAGTTCGCAGCAGGCTTCAGAAGGAGGATCAATCGCGACAGGGATTCGGTTCCGATCGAAGACAAGAGTTCGCCGCGTGCGACAGAGGATTCGGCTCGGAGGAGATTCGCGAAGGAGGAGGCTCTGTAGAGCTGTTGGCTATCGGCGGAGGAAATCTCGTTCGCGATCGGATTAGAGAGCAGTTCGCGACGTAGAGGAATTCTCCCGTTCGCGACAGGCAGATCTCGTTCGCGGGAAGAAGACCAGGCATCGCGACAGTTCCCGGTGTTCGTCTTTGGGCAGTTCGACAAAGAGTTCGCGAAGCCTTGTTCAGTGTGAACAGAGAGTTCGCTGCCCTCGTCGAACAGGCGGAGAAGCGGTTAGCGAACAAGTAGGAGTTCGCTGCAGTAAGGAAGAATCTATTGGTGGTAGCGAACAAGAGTTCGCAATACCGCGAAGGGGAGGAGTTCCGCAGGTTCAACAATATGTGGGAAACAGAGGCTGTCCTTCGCGAACAGGAGTCTTGTTTTGCGGAAAATCTGAAAAATTCGACCAGTTAAATTTGTTGGTTCGTCGCAGGAGATTTTGCGACAGGTGGAGTTCGGCAGGGTGTAGGAGGCGAGCAGACACGATTATTTCGTGAACAGGAGTTTCGTGGAGGTATTCCTCGAACATGTGCGAAGGGATTCGTGGCTCGCAAACAGCAATTGGTCGAGGTACTGGTACGAACAGAAAAAGTGCTTCGTAGGAAAATTTGATTCACGAATCACAGGAGAATCGCGGGATAGTTGTTGCATTTGACATGGAAAATTTTAGGTTTCTTTGAATTTATTTGCGGAGTATTTTCTTTTGTTTTTCGAAGCAAGACAAGAAAATACGGTGCATAATTAAATTTAAAATAGCAATGTTTGGAGCAAAATTCGAGATAGTGAAGTTCGATGGAACCGGGAACTTCAGATTGTGGCAAACAAGGGTAAAAGATTTGTTGGCACAACAGAGAATTTTGAAGGTTTTGCGGGTTACGAAACCTGATAATATGGAAGATGAAGATGGGGAAGAGTTACAACTTCGAGCGGCAGGTACCATACGTTTATGTCT